TCAGCAGCGGCTGAATCAGGACGCCTGGGGCAGAGCAGATGGGATGCTGCTGGGTTGGTCCAGTAGCGCCGAGGAGCGGCGCTACTGGAGCAACCCAGCAGCACCCCAGCTGCTCTGCCCCAGGCATCCTGATTTAGCCGCTGCTGAAACTGACCAGCGCTGACTACAGGAAGCCTGACTACAGCAGCTGACTTGGGGACGCTTGGGGTTCTTAAGTTGATTCTGTATGTAAGTCAGAACTGGCGGTCAGTTTCAGCAGTGGCTGAATCTGGACGCCAGTTCCGACTTACATACAGATTCAACTTAAAAACAAACCTACAGTCCCTATCTTGTACGTAACCCGGGGACTGCCTGTATTAAAAATTCAGGTATTGTCCATCCCAATTTCCTGCTTGACTCTACAGTTGGACTGAAGAACTAGCAGGATTTTGATGTCACACAAAGAAAGGAAGTGAAACTTTAGCAACTGTGGGAATGGGGATTTTTTATCAACCCGTTTAAAGCACTTTGAATTAGATGTTATAAAAATAACTGGAAAGAAAAGAAAAACTTTGCTAAAGTTTCAAAATTCTTGTCCCTCGAGTGAAGAACTGAGAAAGTTCCAAACTCCTGTTCTCTTGTTCATCAAAGAGACTCCCAGTAAAAACAGGAAGGTTTATGTTGAATATAGGAAAAATTTTCTGTCATGGTAGTTAAGCACTGGAATAAATCATCTCGGTTGTGGAATCTCCATCGTTGGAGATTTTAAAGAGCAGGTTAGACAAACACCGGTCAATGATAGTCTAGGATAGTGCATGGTCCTGCCATAAGTACCGGAGACTGGACTTGATGACCTCTAGATGTCCCTTCCAGTTCTATGAGTCTATAAACAACAGTATTATATTCCTGATGGGGCTAATGTTAAAACAAGAAGCAAGAAAAAAACCCCTAAAACTAAAGCAATACCCCCAAAACACCAAACCATTTCTCCGGCTTTCTTCATACAGGAGGAGGGAGGAAAAAGAGTTGAGTAAAGGGGAAGAGAAACTGTCTATTTCTGTAGCTGAAGGTTGATGAATAGGCAGCCATGCTCAATTTTGGAAATCCAGGAGGGGGTACAATACCTAAGGCACACAATTAAACTAGAAAAATCTACTGGCCTAGTTTGGATGCTCCACATCATTTAAAAATAAATGTATGTTCCCTTACCTGTGGACGAGTTTCTCTGGGATGTTACAGCTTCCAAATCATAAATCTGACACTGAAGTTCATCCACCCGCTGGAAGGCATCCAGTTTTAATCTACGTTCTTGGATCAGTTGGCTTTTTATCTAAGGAGGATGGCAATACCACGTGCAGAGGAATCAGATTAAAAAAGAAAAAAAATCTGACCGTCCTCATACAAAGCAAAATTATAGCCTAAGGGCTCAAGAAGAGGAGAAGCAGATGGCTTCAACATCAGAGGTGGTCACAGTTCAGTTGCAGATGAAATAATTCCTAGATATAATTTTTATAAGATGTGCCTGGGATCCTTCTGGAGGACAGATAAACTCATAAGTATTTAATAAAATCTGCAGTTTTCCAGAACAAGGAGCAAGGAACAAGAACCAACAATTGAATCAGATACTGCTGAGATGATAGCTTAGTGCTGTAGAGGGTAGCTGTTATAGTACGTTTGCTTTCATGCTCACACAGATCTCCTCGGGAGCTAGCAGCAGCAGGAACCACTGTGTAGCACTAAATTCCTGGCACTGAAGTGGCTTTTTTTAATTCAATACCAAATTATTAGCTTATTGTCTCAAATACCAATTCAGCTACTGATACTTCTGGGCACTCAAAGGGTTACATGTGTTTTATAAACACATCAAAAGGGTGCACAGCTGACTGCGTCCCAGGCACACTGCAAAGAGCTACATAAGGATTTCTCAGAACTGGGTGACTGGACAATAATATGTCAGATGAAATTTAATGTTGATAAATGCAAAATAATTCACATTGGAAAACACAATCCCAATTATACATATAAAATGATGGGGGCCTATATTAGTTGTTACCACTCAAGAGAGAGAACTTAAGAGTCATTGTGGACAGTTCTCTGAAAACATCCACTCAGTGTGCAGCAGCAGTCAACAAAGTGAACACAATGTTGCAAATCATTAAGAAAATAAGACCGAAAATGTCATATGTGACTAGTCAAGTCATTACTCGACTATCCAATAACCTTTTGCTTGTAGGACAGTCGACTAGTCAACTGGTCGCTTACATCCCTAGAAAGGAAGAGGAAAAAATTCTGCTCTGTGAGTTTGCTTTCATATTTAGGCCTCAATTGGAGTCCAGTTCTGGGCACCACACTTCAAGAAAGATGTGAAGAAATTGGAGAAGGTTTAGAGAAGAGCAACAAGAATGATTAAAGGTCTAGAAAATATGAGCTACAAGGGAAGACTGAAGAAATTGGGCTTGTTTACTTTAGAAAAGAGAAAACGGAAAGGGGACATGATTGTGGTTTTCAAGTATTTATAAGGGTGTTACAAGGAGGAGGGAGAATGTTATTCTCCTTGGCCTCTGAGGATAGGACAAGAAGCAATGGGCTTAAATTGCAGCAAGGGAGGTTTAGGATGGACATTAGGAAAAATATCCTAACTGTCAGGGTGCTTAAACACTGGAATAAATTGCTAGAGGGGTTGTGGAATCTCCATCACTGGCGATATTTAAGAGCAGGTTGGATAGACAGCTATCAGAGAAGATCTATAACAGGGCTATTCAACTTTGGAAGCCCCAGGGGCCACAATGATACTCACAGCACCTGCCGAGGGCCACAACTTAAGTGTAATTGCATATACGTGCAAATATATATGCAAATAGATTATTTCACAATGACAGGCATGAATACAAAGATTAAGGCAAGACTACACAACACACAGGCCCCATTAAAGTCAATTCTGTTTATATTAATAAAATGCAATATTTACCCAATTTCCACCCATATGACAGCATTGTTAATGAGCAATGACAGTCCAGGAATTTAACTACTAAAATGCATATCAACAAAAGACCATTATATTGACAATTTTTTTGTTCTGACTCCCACCCACGGGCCGCATGTTGAGCCCCGCATAAACCCAAACTGCAACGCGGGCTGCAAATAAACGGTCCACAGGCCACATGTGGGCTGTGTGTTAAGTAGGCCTGATCTAGACAATGTCTGCTCCTGCTATGAGGGCAGGGGACTGGACTCAATGACCTCTCGAGGTCCCTTCCAGTCCTATGATTCTATGATATTGCTTCTATATAAATCCATGTTCTGCCCACATCTTGAATGCTGCGTAAAGATGTGGTTGCCCTGTCTCAAAAAAGATACATTGGAATTGGAAAAGGTTCAGAAAAGGGGTAGCAAATATTATGAGGAGTATGGAATGGCTTCCATATGGGGACAGATTAATAATACTGGAACTTTTCAGCTTGGAAAAGAGATGACTAATGGGGGATTTGATAGAGGTCTATAAATTCATGATTGTGTAGAGAAAATAGATAAGGACTGCTATTTATTCTTCATAACACAAGAACTACGAGTTGCCAAATGAAATTAATAGGCAGCAGGCTTAAAACAAATACTTGGCAGAGTATTTTTTTGCACAGTGCACAGTCAACCTGTGGAACTCCTTGCCAAAGGATGTTGTGAAGGTCGAGACTGCAACAGGGTTCAAAAAAGGGTTAGATAAATCCATGGAGGATAGGTTCAACAATGACTATTAGCCAGGATGGGGAAGGATGGTGTCCCTAGCCTCTCTTTGCCAGAATTTGGAAATAAACAACAGGGAATGGATAACTTGTTAATTGTCTATTTTGTTCATTCCATCTGGGGCACCTGTCACAGGCCACTGTCAGAAGACAAGATACTAGGCTAGATGAACCTTTGTCCATTCTCAGTATGCCATTCTTATGTTATATGAAGATGAGGAACAATGAATTCATGGGTCTATATGCCAGGGCTGAATGCTCTGCTCTTCCAAAAGTCTCTTGTATATGATCTTGATAAAGGCAGTCAGTAAGTGCTAGCAACCTGCCAAACTGTTCCTAGCAAAATGCTGTCATCCCAACTCTGCCAAGTGGTAGGTGCTTTCAATTTAACTGTTTAGGGTTTCCAAGAGAGAAAATACTTTGACCAGGCTTACAGGAGAGGCAGTCAGATAAGAACAAGGAAGTTTCATCCAATCTATGATATGAAAGCCACACCTTACGCTCTTAGATCCTGTGGAGTGCTTGAAGTGCAGCCAAGGGGACTTACACAAGTAAAATGTAATCAAGTGATTTTCAAAACATTTTCATTATTCAGGTCACTTTGTAAGACATACAAAGCATCAATCACTGACCCCTTACAGGCCTGACAACCCAATCCAAGGGCAGGGCAATAGAAACTGTACTCAATTAAATCAGCTTCTAAATGGATTCAGTTAAATCTGTGCCAGTCCTTTTTGCAGATGATCTAATAATGGAGGCCATTGGTAAGCAATTAAATTAAGCTAAATCAATATCCAATTTCAGACCATCCACAGAACGTGGTGGCACTGAGTTAGTCTGGGCTCAACTCTGCCTGTCCCCAAACATTTCCTTTAGCAGGACCATCACACAGGGTTCCTTGAACCACAGTTTGAGAACCACTGGTAATCAGTGTAACATCAAGCAAGAAGTATATGGCTCTTAATTCCAAATCATGTCAGATAAAAAATAGATAAAACAAAGGAATAATAAAATTTTTACAGGCCAGCTTTGTATGCTGTCTGCAGTGGCTATATACAACCTGTGTTATAGTATCAAAGCCTTGACAATTACCATAAATGCTAAACACAGTTTTATATTTCTTTTTACAAGAGTAAGCATTGGGAGTAGAGATAAAAATGACCTACCTATGGCAGTAACCAAGATGTTTTGTTTTGGTTGCCCCTCTCTTGCCCTGAGTCAATGGTATTGCCCTGCATTAGTTGGACTAACTGGAGCAAGCCATTTTTTTTGTTATTCTACCATAGTAATGGCATTAAGATATGAAGATGAAAAATCATGTGGTTTTGTTTTATACTAAACAGCAGCTCTTTTGTGTATGTTTTGGCTGCCTGGCAAGGCACTCTTGAATCTACTTTATATTTCAATAAATCTTTGAAGAAAATCTAGATTATAACTGTTTAAAACAAAAAATATGTACTCAGATAAGGTCAGTGAAATCTTTCTAAAAACAGTTTAGTCAAGTAGAATTTGAAAAACTTTTATTGTAAGTTAATACTTGTGCTGTTGTCAATGGTTGGCCATGCTCTAATTTATACCAAAAATAGCACTGTGTGTTTGATTTCACCCAATAAGAACAATTACATGTTGATAAATTCTAATTGTATGAACAAGCACAGGAAGGTGGTGAACTGCTGGAATGGATTTCCTCATTGACAGTTCACATGGCAGTGCAGGAGATGAGAAAGAGAGATTTAATATAAAAATGGTTAACTAGCAGGCACTCCTGAGCTCCTCCATTCCATTCAGTCACACCTTTCAACCTTACACCTGCCAGCATGTGATCAAAGCAACCACAAGTGACGCAAATGGCTGATACATGATACACCTGTGTTTTGTTACACATTATCATCTGTCAATTGTGGTATATATTAACTCTAAAGCCATTTAAGGCTGTTCTCTCATTCACTAAACCAGTTGTTTAAACAGAAAACTGGAAGGACAGCAATTTCAAATATACAAAGTACCAGTAGAACTTGAACCCCGAGTCTTCAGATCCCTATCACAAAGCAAAAGAATTCCCAATTACTCTCTCTGTAGGCTAGTAGCTAGCGAGAAATGTGACACACATTTCCCAGTGGATTACACAACTATTTGCTAAGCAACAGCAGCATGTTGGGGATCAGTGTTCCTGGGAAGGGAGTATGACCTAGTGGTTAGAGCAGTGCTTACCAACTTTGGCACATTGAGTGGAAGATATTTAGGCTTGCTATTTTAAACATCTGGGTTCTATCCACAACTTTGAAAGAAATGACTTTGTATGACCTCTCCCTTAGTTCATTTGTAAAATGGGTGGAGGAATATAAAAAACTGTGGAAGAGATGAACTTAGACCCAATGATCTCCAACCCAGTGCACTGTTCCTTAGAGCCAAAGGTCATTGTGTGTTGAAGAGTATGTATCTCTTCAGTACATATCTTAGCTTGGCAAGGCTGTTGCTCCCAAAATACAGAGTATAGTGTGAAATCTGGGATCCTGAGGGGATGCATTCAGTATTGATCAGAGAAAGACATGCAGCTGGTAAACAGTACTGAGGACCTATTACATTTCTCAGGGAATACTAGCTTCCTTAATAGTATGATACATGCTAAAGTGTTTAAAGATGTAGTTATGTGCCTACCTGACGCATTTCTTTTTTGATCCTTTTTTGCTGAAGCTGCACTATTTTAGAAGATTTCTCTGCATCTTCAGTCAGACATCGCAGCCTCTGTTCTTTCTGCCCCATGTTTTCCATCATCTTCTCAATGTTCGCTGCCTTGATCACATCTAGCTGTTGTCTGCTCCGGGCTTCTTGAGTCAGCCTACATTCTACCTCCCATAGCAAGTGTTTCTATAACATGAAAATACTAAAATGTCTCATTCCTTTCTAATGTAAAAAACAAACAAACAAAAAACCCCAAGCAGACTAAAACACAAATTAACCCTCAAACTTTCTGGAATCAGAAAGAAAGAAAATAAGGCAAAAGCCTCATTTTTTCTCCTTTGTACATCACTTTTAAATGATGTCTGGAAAGGATCTCCCTGCTCTGGTTGGGCATGTCTACAATACAGTGTTATTTCAAAATAACAAGGTGAGCATCTACACAGCAAGCCTGTTATTTAAAAATAATTTTGAAACAACAGGCTTCTTATTCCAGAATAATAGACTCTCATTTCACAAGGAATAATGCCTATTTCAAAATTGCTATTTTGAAATAGTGGTGGTGTAGACGCTCCAGTGCTGCTATTTTGAAAAAGCTCCTCCCCAGGGCCATTCAAAGTAGTTACTCCCCCGTGCTTTCTGGAGCTCTAAATCGAGGTAGCATTTCCACATTATGGGAACCTGCCTCAGACTAATTTTGAGGCTTCCCTGTAGAGTAGACGTGCTATTTGAAAATAGTTATTTCAGGTGTTGTTATTCTGAAATAACTTATTTTGAAATACCCTTGTAGTGTAGGCATACCCGTAAAGATGTCATCAGCTGAAGACATTGGGATTTTATGGAAAACAAGAGATGCAGAATCAAGCCTACATTCAAAATCCAAAATTCAGGTATTGAGAGGAAAAAGGTGTCATATTCATGTTTATAGAATTTTACATATTGTATATATATAATCTTTTAAGGTGAATCTGTTGCAATACTGGATGCTGAAGAAATCCAATAAATGGATGTATGAATTTTAATATATTGGTAACACTTAAAGAGTAAATATTAGACCCAGTGATACAAAACACGTATATCAGCCAAGACTCCCATTTACAGAGGCTGTGTCTACACTGCACCCCTTTTCCGGAAAAGGGATGCAGATGAGACAAGTCGGAATTGCAAATGAAGCGGGGATTTACATTTTCCCCGCTCCATTTGCATGAACATGGCTGCCGCTTTTTTCCGGCTCGGGGCTTTGCCGGAAAAAAGCACCAGTCTAGACGGGGATCTTTTGGAAAATAAAGCCTTTTCTGAAAGGTCCCTTATTCCTCTTAAAATCAGGAATAAGGGACCTTTCGGAAAAGGCTTTATTTTCCAAAAGATCCCCGTCTAGACTGGCACTTTTTTCCGGCAAAGCCCCGAGCTGGAAAAAAGCGGCAGCCATGTTCATGCAAATGGAGGGGGGAAAATGTAAATCCCCGCTTCATTTGCAATTCCGACTTGTCTCATCTGCATCCCTTTTCCGGAAAAGGGGTGCAGTGTAGACACAGCTAGACTGTGGGACTCAGTCTCCTGACTAAATATGTGCAGTAATTTCATGTGTTGAGAGAAGCTTAGGACCTGCCTCCAGGGCACCAGCAAAATGCATTTGAGGGGACTTGTTCAGCACTCTACCTGCTCCACATGGACCCTGCTATTGCACTCCAAAAGGACAGATACACATTAATGTAGTCCAGTCACCAGAAGGGCCTACACAAGCAATTAGAGCATAACACAGTAAGGCTGTGTCTACATTGGCATCCCTTTCCGGAAAAGGGATGCTAATGAGACACTTTGGAATTGCAAATCCGTGGGGGATTTAAATATCCCCCGCGGCATTTGCATTTACATGGCTGCCGCTTTTTTCCGGCTCGGGGTTTTTGCCGGAGAAAAGCGCCAGGGTAGACGCAATTCTCCGGAAAATAAGCCCTTCTCCGGAAGATCCCTTATCTTAAGGGTAGATAAGCCCTTAAGAGAGCCTAGTTTTCTGTTAAAAAAAATTGAGATTCATTAAAATACAAACTCCTATATGCTGTTGCGTAACTGATATATGCTGGAAGCAGCTCACTGCAATATATTAGCCATGTAAATTTAGGTCATATTCAAAAAAATTAACCACATGAGGGGGTGATTGTGCGCACTGAAAGTACCAGTGTCATTTATTCAATGAAATTTAGTTAATAGTTAATATATATTGTGAGGGGGACTGGCTAGAACTGGTGAAAAGCCTCCCCCTCATTTGTGCATGGAGGAAATGCTGCAGGAGACCAGGAACTGTAGAGGTAACTGTCAGGAACCAGGAGGGAACCCTGCAGGTACAGAGGCAAGGGTCAGAGTCAGCCCTGCTTGAAGACCAGACCCTGTGGGCCCCAGAAGTCCAAGGGAGGTAAGCCCCTGATAGAGACTCAGTTAAGAAATCTAGAATGTTGACTCCACGTCCTGAAAGGCCACTAGAGACCAAGTGCTCCCCCTGCTAATGCCAATGATGAGAGTGGCTAAATCAGACAATAGCTTGCCCCTGAAGAAAAGGAGTTAGACTGAGAGCTGTAGTGAGTCACTGAGGTGAGCAATTAGACCTCGAGTTGCAGATTTCCCTAGACAGGGAGAGGGAACACGCACCCTACCACTTCCCAGAAGTGCAGGACTCACTGGGTGAAATTAGGAGCTTTGTCGCAGTATTTTTAATTTTTCATAATATTAAAAACTACAGATTCTCTGTAAAAATGGAAATTCTGCATTCTTCCATGGCAAGTGGATTTATAGGATTAGTGGTGCTTAGCAGTATCAGGAATGTATAATCTGATCTTCCTTGGTTTTGTTGGAGGTATAGAATATATTTGTTATGAGCTCTTAATATAATGTTAAAGGCTGAGGATATTGATTCTAGCAAAAGCCTTCTTGTATTCAAAATATTAAGCAGGTGTTAATAAAACAAACAAAAGTTGTAAACAAATAGACTGACTAAGGCTATGTCTACACTGGGAAGGTTTGGCAACGAAAGTGCTGTCGACGTGCCAAAGTTGTCAAAAGTGAAAACCAGTCAAACCGGTTTTTCTGTCTCCCATTGTCGACATTTCATGGGCACATTGCCTGCTCCCCTGTCAACAGAGCAAAGCAATATGGGCCAGCATCCCATAGTGTAGCGTTGTGGGAAGGCAAAGCTGATCCCTGCATTTCTTGCGATTCCCTCGTAGCTCTGTGAGTTCTCTGTGCTAAGGAATGTCAAAGCAGCACAGCAGTCTCTGCAGCCCTCCCCCTGCAACAACAGTCTGCCTGCTGCTATGTTCCTAGCAGGGCAGAACAGGAGCACTCCAGTTATTTGTTTCTTTTTTGTTCCCCAAACAGAGCTGCTCACTCAGCTGTCAGATACTTCCCAGAGCTTTGAAAAGGGAGGGGCTCATGCCTGCAGAGATCACAAACTGCTGAGCACTGGCTTCAGGGCAGGCATTATAGTATACTGGTGGAAGCCAATTCTCTCAACAAAACAAACAGCAGAGTCCTCAATGGCTCTTTGTCAACAACAAAGGGAGGGGAGAAGACAAAAGTCTCTTATAGGGGTGGAATTTTTTTGTCGCCAAAAACTGGGTGTTTTCCCAACAAAAATGGCATTGCAGTATAAACATTCTGACTCTTTTGTTGCCAAAAGGCAGTTTTTGGCAGCAAAATGTGCCAATACAGACAAGACCTAAGAGCGACTCACCCTCTTAAAATTTCATCATCATTCATGCTCTAGGTACATTTTCACTGTAAAGTTAACTCTGACTTTGACTCAGATATTGTTCCAGAGTTGGTGGGTGTTTTAAACCCAAGCTAGATGGCACTACTCAGGCTGGTAACCCTTGTACATTGCAATGAGGATGCAGGCCACATCACTCAAAGTTGCGATAGTCCTCCAATGATTTCCCAGAATTCCTGTCTGTCCAGAATGATAGTCTTGTCCTTCCACAATTCACTGGGAAAGAATCAGAGATCAGCTTTCTGTTGTGCAACCCTAGAACATGGTCTGATGATTTGTTATGACACACATGACTGCATACAGAACCAAAGAGGATTCAGTAACACAGAGTTACGGCTTTCCCATTCAAACCTAAGCTAAGGCAATTCCAGTATTGGCCACTCAAGTGAACACTGATCTTCTAACCTAAACATGATCTCTATTTCTACGGTAATTAAGAACCAATCCCCACATCCTAAAAACCACCAACCCACAAAGCCTCCAGATTCAGGCCTCCTTCATACACACAAAAAGTATGAGTCCATTTTAAATAATTTGTAGTTCCCTTCTGCATTGGTGTGCATAGTGCTTAACATAGAAATCAAATTGTCCTAAGCCGCCACCTCTAACATCCTCTCTACACCAAACTACATCTACAAATACCCAATCTCACCCACTAAACAATACACATTTTCCTAATACCATTGCCCCTCCTCTTTCTCATTTCCTTTGATCAATAGTGAAATAGTTCATTTTTATATTTAAAATGTCAAAATTAGTCTTCCTAGTCAATTGCCGTGATTGGGGTGAATGTGGGCTGTTCACAGTCATTTTCACACTTGTTTTTTCAGACTGCTGATTCAGGTAGACATCACTGTTCAGGTTTACACTCTGTGAAGATAACCTCTGGAGTATTTGAGACACAGGTGCACAATCACCATGAAAAGTACTGGCTTTTTGCGCTACTGTGCATTGGTCATATTTGATCCCAGTTTAAGCAGAAAACAAAAGACAGTTATGAAAATGAAACAATCAGTACTTCTTACCTTCTCTGCATTCCTCAGCTTTCCATGGAGCTGTGCTTTCAGAAGAGTCTGCCTCCAGCAGCTCAGGGCTTTCAGCTTATACACCAGCTCCCCAAGCCTGCCATTTTCATCCTGCAAGGCCTGCAGCTGGTCTTGCTAAAGACATTATTGTGTTTACTATTAAGCATGCTCCCTTAAAGCAACCTGCAATGTTTTTACAATACATTTTCTCTCCAACTGAAATTTGAACTTCCAAATCTTCAAATTTTGCAGTTTAAAACTGTGCACTTTTCAAAATGAAGCACAGTTTACTGTAACTCTGAGGGAAGAGAAGTTAACATGGCCCACATACAAAAAATGAACAAACAGGTAAACTGTAAAAATCAAACACCCCTAACTGAGATAAAATACAGAGAATTGTCTGTGGATATCCTAATATATTTAAAAAGTGGTTATGGCCTATGAGTCATATTCATTGGTTCATATTCAGTACCCCACTTATGATTTTTCTGAGAAAGATAACATAACAGCACTGGCAAAATCAGAAGATTTGTGAGAAGCTGAGCCATATTTTTCCTGACATTGCTCCAGATGGGAGGACTGTTGAAGAAAATTGTACTCAAGACACGTCTGAGGCTGTGGACCACCGGGGCCGCTTCGTGGACATTTACGGGGGCTAGTCCGGCCGGGCACACGACGCCCGCATCCTCCGGAACTCTGGACTGTATCGCAGGTTGGAGGTGGGCACCTACTTCCCTGGCGGGACTTGACTGTCGGGGATGTGCCTATGCCCATCTGCGTCGTCGGGGACGCGGCCTACCCCCTGATGCCCTGGCTAATGCAGCCCTACACGGGGCAGCCGGACCAGAACCGGGCCTGGTTCAACGACCGCCTCAACCGGGCCTGAAACCCAGTGGAGCTGGCGTTTGGACGTTTAAAGGCCCACTTCCGTTGCTTGCTCACCCGTCTCGAGATGGGTGAGCAGAATGCAACAGACGTCCTGGCCGCGTGCTCCACAACATTGTGGAGCGCAGTGGGGAGGCCTTCCTCCCTGCATGGATGGCAGCCGAGGCACAGACCTTGGAACAGCCAGACACAGCTGCCGTCTGCCAGGCGCGCCAGGATGCGGTGCGCATCAGAGAGGCCCTGGTGGACATGTTTGCCCAAGCCCCGTAGATGCTCCACTGCCTCCCTCCACTTCTGCACCATCCACACACCACAAATCTATGTCCTCCTGAGTCCATCATACTTCCAACCTCCCTGCCCTGAGCCCCTCACATACCCCAACCCAAACTCCTGCACCTTCACATCCACAAGCATGTGGTTTGCTAGGCACCCCAATCCTCCACTTGACCCCAACACTCTCCAGCCTGGAGCCCCCTCCCTGAGCCAGCATCCCCTTCTCCACCTCCTCCAGCATCCAAACTCCCTCCCGGAGCTTGCACCTCTCACCCCTTCCCACACCCAAATCCCTCATTCCCACACCAGAGTGAGGGTATGGCTAGACTGCAGGAGTTTTTCCGGGATTCCAGCGGTATCCCGGAAAAACTCTTCTGCGTCCAGGGACACATTTGTTCTTCCGCTTTTTTTTAGCGGAAGAGCAAACATGCTCTTTTGGTAACCCCTGTATTCCTCGTTCCACAAGGAATAAGGGGTCTTCTTAAAGAAGGGGTTTTTCTGACATTTGATCCAGTCTAGACAGGCCAAATGTTGAAAAAACCTCTTCCTACAGAAGAATTGGAAAAAAAAAGCAGCAGTGTAGCCATACCCTGTGAGTGTATAAGGGCTAGGGATAGCAAGTGATGGAAAGGAGGAGAACTGAGAGGGCGGGGCTTCAAGGAAGGGGTGCGGTTTTGGGGGAAGGACGGGGCAGTAAATCTTGGCTTGTTCTGACATTTAAAAAGTGATCATAGAATCATAGGACTGGAAGGGACCTCGAGAGGTCATCGAGTCCAGCCCCCCACCCTCAAGGCAGGACCAAGCTCCGTCTACACCATCCCTGACAGATGTCTAGAAGAACTTTTCTTTATGCACCCTCTCCACGCCACTCATGCTTTTCATAGAATCATAGAATAATAGGACTGGAAGGGACCTCGAGAGGTCATCGAGTCCAGCCCCCCGCCCTCAAGGCAGGATCAAGCTCTGTCTACACCATCCCTGACAGATGTCTATCTAACCTGTTCTTAAATATCTCCAGAGAGGGAGATTCCACCACCTCCCTTGGCAATTTATTCCAATATTTGACCACCCTGACAGTTAGGAATTTTTTCCTAATGTCCAATCTAAACCTCCCCTGCTGCACTTTAAGCCCATTACTCCTTGTCCTGTCCTCAGAAACCAAGAGGAACAAATTTTCTCCTTCCTCCTTGTGACACCCTTTTAGATATTTGAAAACCGCTATCATGTCCCCCCTTAATCTTCTTTTTTCCAAACTAAACAAGCCCAGTTCATGAAGCCTGGCTTCATAGGTCATGTTCTCTAAACCTTTAATCATTCTTGTTGCTCTTCTCTGTACCCTTTCCAATTTCTCCACATCTTTCTTGAAATGTGGCGCCCAGAACTGGACACAGTACTCCAGCTGAGGCCTAACTAGTGCAGAGTAGAGCGGCAGAATGACTTCACGAGTTTTGCTTACAACACACCTGTTGATACAACCTAGAATCATATTTGCTTTTTTTGCAACAGCATCACACTGTTGACTCATATTCAACTTGTGGTCCACTATGACCCCTAGATCCCTTTCTGCCATGCTCCTTCCTAGACAGTCGCTTCCCATCTTGTATGTATGGAACTGATTGTTCCTTCCTAAGTGGAGCACTTTGCATTTCTCTTTATTAAACCTCATCCTGTTTACCTCTGACCATTTCTCTAACTTGCTAAGGTCATTTTGAATTATGTCCCTATCCTCCAAAGAAGTTGCAACCCCACCCAGTTTGGTATCATCTGCAAACTTAATAAGCGTACTCTCTATCCCAATATCTACATCATTGATGAAGATATTGAATAGTACGGGTCCCAAAACAGACCCTTGCGGAACTCCACTTGTTATCCCTTTCCAGCAGGATTTAGAACCGTTAACAACAACTCTCTGACTACGGTTATCCAGCCAATTATGCACCCACCTTATCGTGGCCCTATCTAAGTTATATTTGCCTAGTTTATCAATAAGAATATCATGCGAGACCGTATCAAATGCCTTACTAAAGTCTAGGTATATGACATCCACCGCTTCTCCCTTATCCACAAGGCTCGTTATCTTATCAAAGAAAGCTATCAGATTAGTTTGGCATGACTTGTTCTTCACAAACCCATGCTGGCTATTCCCTATCACTTTATTACCTTCCAAGTGTTTGCATATGATTTCCTTAATTACCTGCTCCATTATCTTCCCTGGGACAGACGTTAAACTGACCGGTCTGTAGTTTCCTGGGTTGTTCTTATTCCCCTTTTTATAGATGGGCACAATATTTGCCCTTTTCCAGTCTTCTGGAATCTCCCCTGTCTGCCATGATTTTTCAAAGATCATAGCTAAAGGCTCAGATACCTCCTCTATCAGCTCCTTGAGTATCCTGGGATGCATTTCATCAGGACCTGGTGACTTGCTGACATCTAACTTTCCTACGTGATTTTTAACTTGTTCTTTGTGTATCTTATCTTCTAAACTTACCCTCTCTCTGCTTGTATTCACTACGTTAGGCACACCTCCAGACTTCTCGGTGAAGACCGAAACAAAGAAGTCATTGAGCATCTCCGCCATTTCCAAGTTCCCTGTTACTGCTTCTCCCTCCTCGCTAAGCAGTGGGCCTACCCTGTCCTTGGTCTTCCTCTTGCTTTTAATGTATTTATAAAAGGTCTTCTTGTTTCCCTTTATGCCTGTAGCTAGTTTGATCTCATTTTGTGCCTTTGCCTTTCTAATCTTGCCCCTGCATTCCCGTGTTGCTTGCCTATATTCATCCTTTGTTATTTGTCCTAATTTCCATTTTTTATAGGACTCCTTTTTTATTTTGAGATCATGCAAGATCTCCTTGTTAAGCCAAGTTGGTCTTTTGCCATATTTTCTATCTTTCCTACACAGCGGAAAAAGGATCTTGGGTGTAAAAAGGTTGGAGACCACTGTATTAGAGCATAAGCTTTTGTGGGCTGCTGCTCACTTCATCAGACACATGACTTCATGTATGACTTAAGGTGCCACAGGACCCCTTGTTGTTTGTCCTAATGTTGATTCACCTCCTATATTTCAGACTAAAAAAGCTCCCAGAACACTAATTTCTTTCTCTCTCTGTTTTTGTTCAGTGCTGAGAACATTGTATGTTCTAAATAATAACAATGACCTTTAGGTTTTATAGTTAAATTCCATGTATACTGTGACAGGGCATTCCATATGCTTTATAAAAATATGCTTATGAACATGAATATGACATAAATGGAATTTGCCCGATACAAAATACTTCATAGACTCAGACTCATAGACTTTAAGGTCAGTGCAGGCCACAAAATCTCACCCACCCCTCCTAGAATAATCCTCTCACCTATATCCCAGATATTGAAGCCTTCAAATACTGTGAAGACTCCAAGATGCAGAGAATCCTCCAGCTGTGATCTGTACCCCATGCTACAGAGGAAGGCGAAAAACCTCCAGGGCCTCTGCCAAATCTACCCTGGAGGAAAATTCCTTCCCGACCCCAAATATGGCGATCAGCTAAACCCTGAGCATGTGGGCAAGACTCATCAGCCAGACACCAAGAAAGTTCTCTATAGTAACTCCTATCATCCCTCCATTGACCTATTTCCCACCGATAATGAATGGTCAATTAGTTACCAAGATCATGTTATCTCATCAAACCATCCCCTTCATAAACCCATCTAGTTTAATCTTGAAACCAGATAGATCTTTTGCCCCCACTACTTCCCTTGGAAGGCCGTTCCAGAACCTCACTCCTCTAATGGTTAGAAACCTTCGTCTAATCTCAAGTCTAAACTTCCTACTAGCCAGCTTATATCCATTTGTTCTTGTGTCCACATTGGTATTAAACTTAAATAATTCCTCTCCCTCCCTGGTATTTATCCCTCTAAGGGTATGTCTACACTACCCCGCTAGTTCGAACTAGCGGGGTAGTGTAGACATACCCAGAGTGTCCACACTGCCATAGATGCTCTTGTGTGAAAGCACAGCTCGCACATGGAAGAGTGGATGTGTTCTTGCATGAGAACACTTGTGCAAGATGTTCTTGCGCAAGAAACAACAAGTGTAGACATAGCCTAAGAGAGTCCTCACATGAGCAAAATGAATTTTGTGTTGTGCACCAGTATTGAGTTCATGTGGCTTGTTTGGATATGCCACCCAAGTTATTAATAAATATTTTTAACCCTCTACCTTTTCCCTCTGCTGCCATGTCTCCTCCCCTTGCTCCATCAG